AAACCCCCCCCCCCCCCCCTCAAACGTTGGTTTTAAACTACGTTTAAACATGTTAATTGCAGTTGTGTTAGTTAATGCATTATCAAAAGTAATAGTTAAAACTTTATGTTCTATCCCATAAAACCAAAAAATTTCCATTAATGTACCAAAAATAGCTGATGCGTTATGAGGATATGGACATAAATGAAAACCTATTATTCTTTTTTGTAAAACTTATTCGTCATCAACATAATGCGCTGTGACGCATAAATATCCAGTTTTATTGCACCCCTCCTATAGATCAGAAGTACACGATACAGTAGCATTAAAAGTCTTAAAATTATCAACAAGAGATTGTCTCATTGCATAAAATACTTTCATGCAATTAGAACTAGTTGTGTTTCTACTTACCCGTTTAAATTGTGGGTAAAAGGTGGTCTGTATGAATTCTTTAAATGACGCATGATCTGCAAAAGAAAGAGGTAATTCGGCACTAGCTAGAAATTTAGCTAGTGCCTCACGAGCACGTTGTGCATCATATGTAAAATTTTACAACCCCTGTGATGTGAGTGATAGTGTTTGTTGGCGGGAGTCCACACTCCCACCTTGATGCAACGGTAGACATACTTTTCAATGTATATCCAGATGACCAGTACTCCCACTATTTTTATTAGAAAAGTGTTTTTTACAATACTTACATACCGCACGAATTTCTATTTCACCTGTTTTTAGATTTGGTCGGGGCTCTTCTGTGAAATGTTGCAATGCAAGAGAAGTTCGTGGTCTTTTTCTCCTGGTGCGTTCTCCAACTTCCTCGTTGTGCACTGAAGCATTATCTACCAGAGCATTTTCTGGTTTAATGGGGGTGGGGTTGGGAGGCATCATTTCATCCTCGAAAATGGCTTATCACCAAGCTCAGGAAGAGCAGTGAAATCAGGAAAGTTTGATGCGGCCATTTTCTGGAAATTGATTGAACTTAAACATTATAAATGAAAGAGCAAGAAAATGAGTGATCGCGAGAAAAAAGCTTAGAATCAAAATCAAAGAGACAATATGAGAGATAGAATGAGAGGGAGACGAGAAGTTGAGAGTGAATTATTGTGTGGGATTAATGGTGGAATTAAGGGGTATTTATAGGGGATTTTTGTAGGGTTTTTGGATTGTGACCGTTGGGCCCGCGAAGAGGCCAACGATAATAATTTGAACGGGCTTTAGGGCCCTTCGCGGGTCTGGGCCGGGCTGAATCTGGGCTTGGGCCGAACTGGGCTTGGGCCGCGGGCTAAGAAACTGAGGCCCAGCCCTAGCCCATCAAACATGCCGGGCCGGCACGGCCCGTAACAGTACCGTACCGGGCCGTGCCAAATCCGACACTGTTACAGGCTAGGCCGAGCCGTCCATGGATAGCCCAACCCATTTGACAACTCTATACTTACCTAGTGTGGGGACCCCACTAAAGATCTCAGTCAACACTGGTTCACGCATGGATATTCGTAAATCTACGTAGATATATGAAAGGCATGTTTAGTTCGCTGATTCGAGTATTTAATTCGAGTTGAAATGTGATTTTATATGAGAGCTTTTTACTGAGCAAAAAAGTTAGTTGTGACTGTTTCTGAGAGATTTTTATTGTAGTAAAACTCGAATCGGTGAAATGAACGGGGCCGAAAATTGTCTTAAATTTAGCACCCGGAGGGCACTAGAGGTAAGAGTTTGAGTAGATCGGGCCGGGACTCGATGACCTAAATGGAAATTTCAGCCCAAGAAAGGGATAGTCCAATTCGGTCTTAAAGTCTGAAAGGCTTAAAACTACTTTGGTTTGACCCAAAATTTATAAAATATTTTCAAAAAAATATTGAAAAAGATGGTGTTTGGACCAGGCCGGGCCAACCTAAATAATTTTTGAGCTGAAAAGGCTAATAGTTACGGGTCTCGAACAAACTAGTTTAGTCCGAACCAAACTTACAGTTCTAGACGACACTTATATATATATATATTTTGTATATTTGTGTAACATCATTTGATGTTTGTGTAACACTTAATTTGTTATAGTGTAATATTCAATAAGTATAATTAAACACATGTAGATTTGAGTGTTATACAGCCATAAAAAAAGTTATATTTTTAAAGAAACAATGTAATTTATCCGAGCATGCGATCGCTGAACTTGAGACTTTACTTATATATATATATATATTCTTTTTATATATTACCTTTGACTTATTTGTTTTTTTTTTTTTTTTAAAATCATTTGTGAATTGTATTTGTACCGACCGGCCTAAAAACGAAAAGCTAGGGGGACTATAAAAGAATCAAAAGATAGCTACTTGGTCTACTTCACTATATGTAACAAACATTTCTAGTTAGAAGAGACTTGTTTGGAACTCGTTTTAAAATGATTTTATTTTTTGTATGAAAATGGAAATGAAAATTTTTTTGTCTTTAATTGTGCCAAACATCATTTCTCTCCCATTTATATTTTTTCTTTCTAAAAAAATGTGAAAAATAAAAATAAAAATAACTCCAAACACAGACAAAGTTTCTACCTCCAACCCTAAAAACCTAATTAGCCTAATTGAGAGAAAAGATTATAAAAGATTTCTTTTGAGAGATGGCACGTCCGTGTAAAGCAAAGTACATTCGTATAGTATGGCATCCTAGGACTTCGCTAGATATTGTGACGGCCAATTTGCAAGAAGAAATTACATTCCTTCAACAGAATATGGAAAACATCAAATAAATAAAAAAAAATGAATGAAATAACGACTTTATAGAAAAGTATTGAGAAAACGATATTCTTTCTTGTCCTTTTATTTTTCTCTTTGCCTTGTTCTGAATGACGCCGAGATATTGACCTTCTAAGATCTAGAAACTTACTTTTTTCTTTCTTTTTCTATGTGCTTATGTGTAATCACATTTTCCATCTCAAGGCCACAACCCATTTTTTTTAACCCTTTTTCTTTGTGCTTACGTATAATCACAAACTTCTAGATCTAACCCTTTTTTTTAAGAAACTTTTTCGGGTGTCCTCTTTTTTTTAAGACATTAGTATTTCTTACTTATTAGATGTTGGATACATATTAAATATGATTAAAAGTTAAATTATATTAAAAAAATAATACAAATTTAAAGACTGATAAATAAAAAATACTGATATTTTTAAAAAAGAGAAAACACCAACGAAATTTCTTTTTTTAAAGGAAAATTCAACTTTTACTAAACAAGCAATTCATGGGACAACATCCTCAATACAATTGGGGACCACTTTGAATCATAATTTATCACAATAAGGTTATGTACATTTATTTTTCTTTTTTTTTCTTATTTATCACGTGTTCAGTTCAAATCTCAGTGAAAATGTTGAAAAAAATATATATTTGAATTGTTGAAATTATTTGAACTTTTATAGATGCAGTAGCCGATTTTTTTTTTTTTTCAATTGCTCGAATTATTTATTTTCATAACTTAATAACTGAAATTTAAAATGTACATATATCTCTATAAAATAAAATGTGTCAAGATATGATTTCATTTCTTCTTAACAGACTTCACACCATGTAGAAATATATATATATATATATATCATCAACAATTTTCTGTGTGTGTATATATAGTAGAAACTAGAAGGTACCTCCCTAAAAAAAAAGAAATAAAAAATAAAACCTAGAAAGTACCAAACGAGTTTTGACACGGCAACGAGTCACAAGAAGACAAGCCACGGAAGCTTCGGAGTTAGATTTGGGTTAAAGACAATGCTCATGCACGTGCCAAGAAAAACTCAAAAGAGCAAGTAACAAACGTTAAAAGTTAAAAACCTATCCACTCATATAATGGGCAAGGAAAAGATATATTTTACCCATTATTTTTCCATGTCCATGTCATCCCAACCCAATTTATCCGTTGATTACGTTGATAAAGGTAAATTGTCAAAATAGTTACATATTATTTTGACAATGACGTTTAATTTATTAATTTAAAATTATTTTCAGTTTATATGTATTTTTTATGAGAAAAAATACTGTAACGAATCACAAATCATAATACAAATTATAAATTATGATACGAATCTTCATACCAAACACCCCGTAAATTTTTATTCTCAATCATGCCATAGCCGTGAATCAAGCATGTTATCATGAGGAGGGACATCGCCTAGGCAGGGACTTCAATTTGTCTTTCTTCTGTTGCAGATTTTATAGCACGTGAAACTTTGTTGACTCTAAGATGACCAACAATCAACGTGAGTGTTTTCCTTCAGCACCAAAATTGGAGAATTCTCTCGACAAAATCTGAGTTTTTGCTTCTTCTATGAGGGTCGCTCTATGATACTGGGAGTCTAATTCACCATACTGATGCTGATTAGCAAGTTCATCATTTCATTTTACAATTTTAGGATTCAAAAGTTGCAATTCGTTATTAAACTTCACAACAGTATCATCTTATTTTTCAATTTCAAGTATTGGTACCGAGAATTCTTCTCAACGTAGTAAAATTTATCTTTCTATAAATTGAAACTTTCTCTGATAAAATCTCTCTACCGGTGGGGTTAATTTCTGATCATTAAATCTGATCAAAATCACATCTGGTTGAAAAAAAATATGCATAATAGAATGACTGAAAGTATATAATTACTAATAGTTCTTTTTTTTTTTTTGCTATTAGAAAAACTCCCATATAAATTCTGACATAGTGAAAACATATATCATCCATATCTTTAATACTATAGCCCGAAGACTACAGTTTTCTTTTATGAGTCTAGCACAAGATTGAAATGAAATGAAGGAAAAGAGACATCTATACCAACCGAGCTCACTGCAAAGTTACCCATCTCCATTTGAATGACAAGCTTTTTATAAAGACAATAATTGCAAGGGTTTGATATTCTTTGGCATACGAATAATAATAATGATAGATCGATTCACAGGGCATTTTCCTCTTTTTCTCTGTCTGCCAAGGGACAAGACAAGGTGGGACAGTTAATTTAAAAAAAAAAAAACCAGCTTTAAGGACTTCGACACCATTTTATTCTGATCAACTAAAGCTGAAAAGATTAAGATATATCTACAAATTAACAGGCAACCACCAACTAATTATGCTAATCGCTGTTTATTCGGACATTTAACAACCTTCGTACTTGATTGAATTCAGGCAGTTTCAACACCATAGGATTCCCGGGCCAAGACTAAATTCCGCAGCAGAATTTTTCAAGTTCACCTGCAAATAAAAGGACAAAATGAAAGCAGTGGTTATGTAGATGTACATAACGAGGAGTTTCCATATTTCTTCTACAGGCTTATCACTCTTTCTTCATCTATATATAATAAAGTACCAAGAGATCTCAGAGTTTCATCCTACAGCAATATTGTATTTCACGCTGGATCTTTACCAGTAATGTAAAATCTATTGAGAAAAAGAGAACGTCACAGTGAACAGCACTTGCCACTTGCCAGATTTAATGGGTGTACTAAATGGAAACATCGAGAAATGTTTCTCACTTGGGCATCGTAAGTCCAATAATTTGATGGACAAGCTTACTTGTGTCCAGATGAGAAAGAATGACATTTTTTCTTTTTTCAAAGTAACGGGACGTGCGAAGGGAAAACTGAAAGATGCAGACGGAAACCACAGTGAAGACATAATCAAGCCCGCAATCACTAGATCTCAGGGCTAGAGGCCCTAAATCTTCATCAGATTAACATAAACAAAGAAACAATCAAATACAGAAAAGAAAGAGAAAAAAAAAAAAAAACCTTTTCAGTTTAGTACCGAAAGAAAAGTTTGACTAAAAACTCAATAATAGAATAAATTTGGTTCAATAGTGCAAGGAGCACCAACTTTAATCCCAACTTCTTTGTATCGGCTTATGTGGTATAGGAGTTCTTCGTATCAACATCTTTGCAAAAGTTTGACGGGACAATTAATAATATGAGATTACATTTACTGTTGAAAAGAATAAAGAAAACAACTTACTGCCATGAAAGTTGGTAAAAAAAAGTTAGGATTAGAGTTGGTATCCTTAGCACTACCCTTCATGTTTTGTTCCTTACTTTAATAGTTCGATACATTATGATGATCGAATTGTTTTATATTTAGGATGTGACTGTGAAATAACCTAGATGCATTTGTCTATGTTACTAAGGATGATACCTCGTCCTATCATTTTTTTGGTTACAGTCTACACCATTAAAAACAGGCAACAACAGAGTTCTCAAATAACCAAGATAAAGCGCGATACATCTACTTAAACTGCGAAGAAAATAAATGGAAAGACTTTACCATACAAAGATGAAGAAAGCAAGCCTGGTATCAATCTTCAACCTCAGTCTAATTACTGCAGACAAGGAATTCTCAAAGTTAATACTCAGAGTTTTGGGTATCCCCTGCTAATAACCCTTTTCACGTATTGTTAGGCTCAGTTTTCTACTTCGATTGTGCATTTATACACAATTTCTTAATATTACACAACGCCTGTCCAGAATGTCCAAATAAGCAAGCCAGTATCAGGAATCATCGAAAGAAAGAAACGAAAATGCCAAACTTCAGGTGTAATTTTCACTTCTATTTCATTTTTCATCAACGTCGTGACTTCCATCAGAATGGTCTTCTTCAAGGACTCTTTCCTTAATCAAGTCATGTCCGTTAGAATGGCTTTCCTTATCAACATATGGAAGCTCATGGCTTGAAGGAGAATCTGCATTGCTTTCCATATCTTGATCATAATGGGATTTAGCAGCGACAGTCTTGTCCAACACCATTTCTGGACCTGCGCTTGAAGAAAATGACGATACAGGTCTTTGTTCCGATTCGTCCAATGCATCACTAATGTTGCCTTTTGACTGATTGTCTCCTGTATTGCTTATACGCCTATATATCTCAATTTCTTTCTCCAGAAAATGATTCTCCCTCTCCCTCCTGATAAGTATCTCTTTCAAAATTTCAATCTCTTCTTCGTCATATGCAAATTTTTCCTCTATCATCCTCTGATATTGTCTGGTTTCGGTTTCCATCGATCCCTTGTCCTTTTGAAGACGGGATATCATGGCCATCGCTTCGTCTGCAGCAGTTGCCGCAGCAGCTCTCTCTTTCTCCAGCTCAACGTAAAGAGCAGCTGAAGCAGCTTTCTCTTCCTTAAGAGCTCGCTCCAACATCCTAATCTTATCAAATTCAGATCCAACAATGGATTTTTTTTCCCCGGCATCATCAATGTAGTTTTCAAACCAAACTGAATTCTTATAGGCATCGTTACTTTCACCGAATGATCCACTCAATTCAAAACCATGGCAAGTCCCTTCACCCTTATAATTTCCATTTGACGCAGTTATACCATCTGAAAGGACGTTCATAAAGAATCAGCAAACAAAATTAAGCAAGCACCTTAAAAGTTAGAACAATTAAAGCTTAAAAAGGTGTTTCATAAAGGCGAGACCAAAATGGGGGAAAAAAAGGTTCCATATTTAGCAAGCTTATACAACCCAATTTAAATGTTCAAGGAGCTTTTTGTCCATCCAAAACAAAAATTTCAAACAAGAGAGAAACTTTTTAATTTTCATATTCAACCAGAAATAGCCACATTTATAATTCAAAAATTCCCAAAAAAAATAGCTAAATAATCAACACCTAAAAGATGCAAAGCTTCTGATCAGGAATATTCTACTTAAGGAAGACAACAAAACAAGTTGACTAGATCTTCCACACTTACCCTGGGGACCGTCTTCTCTCCTGCTTAAGGGACCTAAGATTTCAGCATATCTATCTTTCATTTCTCTGAAATTACCATATGACATAACAGAAGCAAGTTTCCCATATGCGAGATTAGCCCGCCTACGCCGCCGAATCCCGGACCTTTGCTTAAAATTCACAGCCCTCTTTCCTTTATATTCACACCCACTTTCTCTATCAGCGAGATTTTGATTCCTTGAACCGGAAAACGAGCTAGAACTTCCGTCACCTCCCAACTCAACAACCCCATTTCCGCATTTCACGTCTCTAAACCAAACCAAATCGAAAGGGAACCTACTCTTGGCTAACAATTGAACTGCATGGATCTTTCTAATAGGCCAATCAATAAGCAATCTGTGCCAGCAAAAATTGCCATTTTGATACCCCAAAAATCCTTTGCAAGGACATGGCAAACGAAGTCCAATAATACTTAAAAACTTCGATGGAAAGAAGAAAAAACTCGACGAGCAGAGCACGAAATAAGCCAAAGAAAGATCAATAAAGGCTCCTATTAGACCACATAACGTCCATGGACGAATTTCTTTCCAAGCCATGATCCTCGAGACCAAGATCCCAGATTTTCTACAGAAGTCTCAGCAACTAATAATTACAAGCGGAGAATTCGAGAAAATTTGTGAGCCTTTGGTTACCAAAATATTTTAGAGAGCAAAAAATAAAAGTACAATAATTTGTATTCCAGAACAAAATTATTTTTTTGGAAAAAGTATAGTTAACTTATAACCCGTGGTTCTTATTAAAACAGTGCATGATGATTACGAAACCCTCGAAAAGATGATCCGAGATTCTCTAGAATGTTGCAGCTGATTAATATAAACATGCTTACTCATATAAATATTAAGAGAAAAGTTATAGAAAGCAAAAAGTGAATATGAAAAGATTAGTGTCAAAGCAAGCTAGATCAAAACATGGAATTAAAAAGTTAGTACGAAGTTGGAATTGACCAGGAAAAAAAAAAAGACCCAGAAAATTTACTGAGAATTCAAGATCAAAACACAGAATGAAAAACGGTTCTAAAGAAAAAAACAGAAAACCCACCAAGCGTTAAAGCAAGATCGTGGAGGTCTTTGGAAGCGTTTTCGTGGAGCTTCCACGTTAGTAGAAAGGTCGGTTTAGTTTCAAGGTCGGAAGTCGGAGCAATCATGGCCTTGCAATGGGAAAGTACACACACTGCCACAGTGACGGCGCCGTTTTACCGACTTGGCGGCTGTGACGGCGCCTTTTTACCGACTTGGCGGCTGTGACGGCGTCGTTTTAGGTAGTTGTCTTAAATGAAAATATGTCTGCGCGCCAAAGCCGTCACACGTGGGAACGCCGTAATAGACTTCAGAAGTAAAACTTTCACGCGCTCAGCGCTCGTCTAGACCACGCGTCACATCAATTATTCTCTCTTTTTACTAAAAAATTTCACGTGATTCGTTGAGTTGCTTAATCAGATTGGATAATAATTTGTCTTAAGCGGCCTTTTTAAAGAAAAATGATGGAAACTGTGGAAGACACATTGCAAGTTGTATGTTAATTCCCCAAATTGAGTTTGGTAGACTTCTATTTCTTCTAAAAATCACATTGATAAGTAAGTGCAGTACATTATTTCTGAACGCTATTTTCAAAAGAAAATTATAGAATTTACCTTCATAAGTGCACAAATTTAAATGTTTATTTTTTATTTTTTTTATTAATATAATTATTTAATTAAAAAATTATTAATTAAAAGTAAAAAATACAAATTTTGACCTAATAATAGTGTAACATCTTGTTGGAGGCCCAATTAGTTTAACATACTCACTAATATATAGGGAAATAGTAAAAAATATGTTAATATGAAAAGCTTAAAAAAGTATATAGGTCAATTTTTAGTTATAGAAATTAATAGGTCATAACTTGTCAAGTTCATAACCAGATATGTTATGGACAAACTTGTCAAGTTATGGTTCATAGTCAGACAAGTTATGGACAATAACTTGTCAAGTTATGGTTCATAACCAAACAAGTTATGGATGAAAACAATAATTTGGCATATTTATTAACTTATGTAAACTATTGGCCTATTAATTTTAATTCATCCTAAGTTTTGATCTATTTTTCTCTTTCTCCCTAATATATATATATATATATATATATATTTTACCTTACAAACTAATAATTTAAGTTAGGTTAAAAAAATAATATTGCAAGAAAAGATGTGAATTTCCCTTCGTTTAGTTTCATGTTTGTTGAATAAAAGGACAACTTATAAGTACTAGAGTGAAAATACGTTTAATTATTTCCAGCAAATGAACAAAAACGATCCAATCAATGAAGTTCTAACTTTTTCCATTTATTGGCCACAAACCTTTCTTCAGGTATCTTTGTTCGGGCGTTAAAAGTATATGCCCGTCCTCACATCTCTTACCATTCAAACAATGGAAGTGGAAGCAAAGCCTCTTCATCTCTCTGGCCCTGTGAAGCTACTCCCAGACCTTCTAGAATCACCCAAAGCTGCATCGTTTTTCTGGCTCTGACAGCGCTCAACGGAGCTCGAGAATGTCTCCAATGGCAGTTTTGACGCACGGATCGTTGCTGTTCCGGCCCGCGGAGATGTCCAAACCGTTCAACAGACCACCTGTGAGGCACTCCAGCTGTTCCAATGTCCGTCGTAGGTTGTTTTGCGGAGAGAATATAGAAAAATTAGTTTTCCGGTTATTTAGACCCCAAACTTTCAGGTCAGTTCATTTCGTTTGCTTGCCTATCAATATGGTGTTTGTTTGCTGAGATTAAAAATAAAATAAAAAAGGCGAGTTGGTAGAACTGTGCTAATAGTGAAAGCTTTTCAGTAATTTTTTCTTTTTGAAAATAATTTCAGTTGTTAAGTTTGATTTACGGATATTTTCTGACAAATTTTGTTAGGAAAAAAAATAGAAAGGAACTATTTCTACGCAAAACTAATTGAGACATCATGTTCGTTACTAGATGTATTTCCAAAATAATAAATGGAGACAGCATTTTTTTCTTTTCCTTGGTGAAGTTGAAGAGTTGCTCATGAGTTCTTTTTCCTCTAATATATTTCACATCTCCAAAATCTGATATTTTTCTCAGTCAATTTTGGATTTTGTCCACAATTACAAGCACTATAGCTCTTTAGTAGTTCTAGCTTGTAAGCATCTCTTCTATCATTTTTTTTTTCAAAAATATTTTTATCATTTTAATTTGCGCAGAAAATGCTTTCAAAGTTCAATTTCGTGGTTATCTTTCTGCCATTGTTGGTCTATTGTCACTATTTCAATTGTCATTTGTTGCTTAATCACAGGATAAGAAGTTAACAGCAGGAAGGTGCAGAAAAAAATGGGGCTGCAACGTCAAAAGAAGTTGCAGATGGTCAAGACAAAATATCTCATACGGTTCTTGGAAATGATAAAAATACTCAGCCCGGTGCTGGGATGTCATTTCTGGCTAAAATTGCCATTGTGGTGGGCATTGCTGCAACAATCACACTAATCTCTATTGGTGTCAAAAGGCCTGTTCTTGGATCCTCACTCGGGTTTCAGTTTCTCCCTGAAAGTTCATCCTCTTCAGTAATGGCTTCACCTCCTGTTGGTTTCGCCTTCAAAGCCTTTGGGTACAGAATATTATTGCCTGAATATGCACCTGGGTATATTCCAGTTTTGTTGCTCACTTTGCTTCTTCTTTTTTTTTTTTTTTTTTGTTTAAATAATTACATCTTATGCAAGTGTGTGAGAATGAATTTCATTGCAGGTGGATTTACTTTTGGTTTCTTATGGCTGCTGGTTTTGGTCTTTTCATCAGTGAAGAAGCTTTAAATATTTGGGTCTGTCCTCTATTCTGGTACTTCAGTTTCACAAGCTCAAGAAATTTTCTTGTTTGTTTTAGTGAAGTTGCGACTTTCATGGTTTCGTTGTTTGCCTGGATTCATATTTTAGTTAAATGGTTTAGGTTGGCATATCTTTAGCGCGGATGCTGTCTTTGGACGGGACATGGCAGTCTTTTGCTGAATCTTTCTCTAGGAATGCTGGATATATTACATCAACAATTTTGTGGGTGTACTGGTTAGTGGCCTCTATATCATAAGCTTTGTAGCAATTACTATCCCACATCTTCTTGTATTGAAATATCAAATTTTCAATATTTAGGGGAGTGTGCATTAGCGACTTGATACCGTTTTACTTTGGAATGCTTTTCCGGCGGTCGGGGGCTTCTGATGATGTTTGTTCAAAGGTTAGTTCTGGTCGTCTAAGTTCTAAAAGGAACAATGGCAAAGCTCTTAAAGCATTGACTTTCTTTTTATTATATTCTTTTCCTGATGAATGATGATGGATACAGTTGGGGATTGGCAAAGAGAGAGCTTTGAGCATAACTCGTGCGGTTCAAAAATATGGCAATCTCATTGGTTTTGGTAAGCTCTAAGAGCTTTGCATCATTTATGCTTGATGAAAAAGAAAAGAAAAGAAAAGAAAAAGGATACAATAACCATAAAGCACGTTTTACAAATGTCGACTTTCCATACATGAAGCATGCAAGAGCAATCCATGCAAGCTTTAATCATATTATCATCTTTGTAACATTTTCGCATTTTATTTTTGCAGTTGAACGATTTTCCCTGGGAGTGAGAAACCCAACAGCTTTTTTGGCCGGGGCATTGGTTAGTATCTAGTTATCACTGCCTAAATTCCCAGTAACCCCTTCATGCTTGATACATTAATGATAGAGCACCTACAAACACTTCAAAAAATATGTTACAAAATGAGGCTAGTTTGGGTTCTAGTGCATCTTTTTCTTACATTCAGGCTCATGTCTAGGAGATTATGTGCCTTTATCTTAATGCAGGGGATATCCCCAGATTGTTTCTTCGCTGGAGTTTGTTGTGGTGGGTTGATCACTCTTCCAATTCAGGTTTGTTTGGGTCCATTTTGGAACAGAATTCAAAACTTTAATCTTTGGGATTTTAATGTGGGGAAAATTGTTCTTTTTTCTGTCTCCATTTTGTAGAGTTTTCCCCTTCTCTGTCCCAAGTAAGATTGGTAATTAACCATTCTTTTTTCCTCCCCCTGACAACAGTTGGGGATAGGATTCCTGATGAGAGAGCGCCCCTTACTTGCCCTTGCTACAGTGGCAACAGTTGTGGTATGCAAATGCATTTTATATTTTTTTATACCATGAAGTTAAATTTTGAATCATGTGGATCTGACTTGTTTTATCACACAGGGAATTTGGACTATTTTTCCGTACGCGCTGGCTGCTTCAACAGCATTGTTTCTTTTCATGAAACGCCGGTACTCTAGCTAGCCAGATTCTATTACACAACTCATGTTGGAGTTCCCTGAGTAGAGGATGGAAGGCATTATACAAAAGAATAAAGAGATAGCTGATAGATTCAATTTTTTGGATGGCCATTGCGATTAAAGCTGTTGAATAATCATCCACTTGATGCCTTTTCTTTGAGTTGTACAGATATAACAAGAAGAATACCATAATGGCTTTTTTACATGGCACATTTGGAACTATATAAACAGAATAAACAACAATAGAGTGCTATATAAATTACGTTGTTTCTCGTTCTTAACAATAATTAAAATGCTTCGTAGTTCTTCTACCAGTTTGTATATGTGTGTGTGTATAATATTGTCTGTGTGTGTGTGTACATATATAATGGTAAAAAAACTGTATCTTAGTACCACATTGCACCAGTTTTTAAGGTGAAGTAATGTATGATAAATGCTTCCAAAATCTCCAACAGGGCGTCATCAACTCACATGTCGTGAGATGCCAGATAAGATAACTGAAGACTGTAGGCTTCTTTGAGCTCAGCCAACACCTGAGCAATTGTAGGTCTCCTTGTTGCATCTCTCTCCACTGACCTAATAGCAACCGAGGCTCCTTTTCTCATGCTCTCCACATCAAAACTTCCCTTCAAGCTGTCGTCCACTATCTCGAATGCACCTGCTTGTAAGTATGGCTTGGCCTGCACTCACTCAAACCAAAACCTCTTCTAGTGTTAGACTTGTACCTGAAAAAGAAAAAATCTTAAATACTTGGATTAGTTTTGTTTGTGTGCTTCGAACAATAAAGGTAGGTCTCCAAGCAACTTTTGAATTTTTACTTGTGAAATCTGCTCTTAAAACTTTGTTTTACTTTGTACCGTCAGGTTCTGTAAATTTTTATATCATTGTATCAAAAATTGTCAGAATGTCAAAATATGTGACTTATAATAAGGGGTATGAGTAGTATAAGTGAAATTGACTCCAGAATCTTGAGGAGTAGAGCTAATTTTCAGAGCATAGATGCTTTTTGTTCTGAATAAATTGGATTAGCCAAAAAGCAGAAACAGAATGGGGAAATTGAGGTTGTTTGTTCATACCCATAAAACCAAATTGAAAGAGTCAGGAGTTCCAGAGTGGGTCAGTGGTTCTCGCCCACAAATAAGCTCAAGAAGCACAACTCCAAAGCTGTATACGTCACTCTTCTCTGTCAACTGTTGGGTGGAATAGTATCTGCATATCATATATTATTTACAATGTCAAAAACAAACCAACCTAATTTGAAAGGAAAAAAAAAAAAAAAACTGCGAGGTCGGCAACTGAGAAGTTTGAAGGAAATCTTACTCGGGATCGAGATAACCAGCAGTGCCCTTGACTACTGTGGTCACATGGGTTGCATCTGCCTGAGTCACTTGCTTAGAGAGGCCAAAATCACAAACTTTTGCATTCATCTCCACATCCAAAAGAATGTTGCTACACTTGACATCGCGGTGTATAATTCTCGGTTCACTTCCATTATGGAGATAGTCCAGTCCTATCAATACAAATAAGGTTCAAACTTATCATAAAAGAAGACTAATAATTTTGATTTTTTATTTGTTTCTTATGTGATGTTCCTAGAGAGAGAAAAAGAGAGAGAGAGAGAGAGCAGAAAAAGAAAAACCTTTTGCAGCATCCACAGCAATTTTCAGTCTGCGAACCCAGCTCAGTGAAACTTTTCTACTATTTGTACCTGAAGGATTAACTCCAGTTGTGTAAAAGAGAAATGCTTTAACAAAAAATGCGATCAAAGTTCCTTTCTACAAATTCGTAGCGCTTGACATACCATAGAGGTGGTCAGCCAATGATCCTCCAGGAAGATACTCGTAAACAAGTATTTGTTGCTTTGATTCGTGGCAAAACCCTTCCAAAGACACAAGATTTTGGTGGCGAATTTGTGACAAGAGACACACCTAAAAACAATGCCAAGATGTTGGAGAAAATAAGGTCATTCTGTTAGAGGACAGAAATTTAAGACAAACTAATATAGGACTTCAGACAGCAAACCTCATTGACAAAAGAATCAGCTCCAAGTTGAGTCTTATCAAACCGCACTTTCACAGCCACGAGCTTCCCATCTCGCAGCTTCCCAAAGTAAACTGATCCAAAGCTACCACGCCCAATAACCTCCTTGAAATTGTTGGTTGCTGCTTTTATTTCCTTGTAAGTGAAAACCTTTTCTGGATTCCAGTTTCGAATATCTGCTGTCGCCCCTATGACCGAAAAAAAAAATGTTAAGTAAGCAAGAATGAAAGAACTAGAACTATTAGAAAAAGCATGTTTTTATTACAAATTCACGTACTTCCTGTGTATGTAACTTGAGACCTTCTCTTCTTCCTCATGTACAAGAGTATCAAAATGATGATACAGAAGAAAGCAAGCAAGGCTCCACCAGTAACGCCGAGTATAATGGCTAAGTGGTCTAAACCAGAAGAAGCTGAGTGCCGCTTTTTGGTGAAGATGGTGACTTGGGGCGTCTCAATTGAGGGGTTGGATGACACGTCATTGCACGTCATCGTGGAGAAAGAAAGACACAGATTTCCTGATGTTCTGCATGGAATTGGTTGGTTGGTTTGGTGCTTCAGAATGCTATGCTGAGACTTGTTACAAATACATATATATAGATATATATTTATATAGATGACAAATTGTGACCTTGAAGCTTGTTGTTTTCCAGTACCTAATTTCCAAAGTATCTCTGTTCAAAGATGTTGGAAGGGCACCTTGAAGCTTGTTGTTTTCCAGATTCCTGGAAAAATGTTGAGTTTGGTAATAATGATTCGTCGATAAAAGAATAAGATTTTGTGTTCTAGCAGATTCTAAAATTTGCTTACAATAAATGAAGGTTCTCTAACTCTCCCAAGTTGTCTGGAACTGTTCCTTCTAAACTATTATTCTGCAAGTCCCTGCACATAGAAAAAAGGAAAATGGACTCATATTTGGTCGGATAAATCATATTTTGGTCCCTGACGTTTAAAATGTCCTACAGTTAGTCCCCAATTTATAAAAACATCTCATTAAAGAAACTCACAGAATTTGAAGGCTAACCAAGTTCTCCAGTTCTGAACCAAAGGATGTTAGACGATTGAAACTCAGATTTCTGCGAATAGTATTTCAATCAATATTTGTCACTATATTCCTAAGAAAGAGAAGTTAAAGAGTCACCAATGGCGTGATATTACAATTTCTCAAGACGTTGCAAGCTACCCAGATTCTGGATTTCACCAGCAAGCGACGTATTATGCAAATCCCTGAGCATAAAACCACACCAGAAATATATAAATAGTCTAGTATGAGAAAACATAACCTTTTTGTCTAAGCATTAGAGTGGTGAAACAGAATTTACAGTGCTTTAAGATCCAGCAAGTCACCAAATGTTGGACTAATTGACCTCAGATTGATATTTTGGAGTTCCCTAACAAAGGAAAAACACAATCCAAGTCAAATCCAAGATAACAGAGAGGGAAAGAAAAACCAATTGTTAGTTATAAAGATACATACAATGATGTGATACGGCTTCCTTCACATCCTATGTGATCCCATGACGTAGGAGAGCATGGATCATCTTGCCATCCAAGGTCTAAACCAGTAGATTGCTCAATAACCTGAAGAGCTGACACTGAAAGATTGAAGTGAAGTTAGTACCAAGGATAATGCTAAAGATTTCAACTTTTTAATACCAATTGGCGAGGCATGTGAGCAGTCATTATGATAGGTGTTTTATCATGACGCCAGTTAAAATTGAAAAATTGCATCTATCAGTGAAAAGATAACAGCTCACCGTCACGTGAGTTGGTATTAAAAAGTTAAGACAAATTAGGATATCTAAAAGTACTCTAATATCAAATTTCAAGCTACCAATATCTATGTGACATCATGGAGTATGAAGAGTATAATATGATCACCTGTGGTTGATGAAGCTTCCAAGGGAATATCAATAATCTCATACACTTCAATTCCATTGACTTGAGGATAGAAGCTTGTGCTCTTGAGTGTGATGTTCAAGCTCTTTATTCCTTTCCTTGTTAAATATAAAGCAGTAACTTTTGAAGTTTTCACAGTGTAGTTTGACCGTACAATTTCCCCATTGATCATTACATTAAAAGAAGGGGAAACAGGAAGAATCCCAGCAAAATAGAGGATAATATAATAGTCTCCGAGCGTGTCAAAAGGCAAATTATATGTCATGACTTCTCTTCTTGCCAAGACTCTCGCAGTTTGAAGAATGCTAGGTGGGGGACTCTCCTTAAGAGTTTGAGACCTACTGAAGCTAAGTTTAATCTTCAGCCCAGTTGAGACATGAGATGGTGTAAAGTTGTTATCAAAATCCCATATTCGGTCATATGGATCAGAAGGATACCTGTAATTTTCACACAAAAACTAATTGTCAAAACTAACCCGGATATCTCATTAGATTAATTTCACCCATGTCTCCAAAGTGAAACATGAGATGGGTTAATATTTTATAGCACTAAAAAAAAAAAAATTATAATTAAGACTAACTTTGATTCTTTTCTGCCATAACCATTAGGTAATTAATTACTATATTCGCCTGAAGGATGTAAGGTAATAGTGACATAAATGAAGTGCGAAAATAAAATCGTAAAAATAAGATTTAAAAAAAAAAGGCACCAATTTCATGTGCAAAAAGATGAAAAGTCCATACCGAAGTGATCCATTTGTGTAACCACAGTTGATTCGGTAACTCTTCCTAAGTGACTTATTAGGGAAATCTCTCAAGCCACTTGTGTAAGCTCCTTCAGGCAGTGGCCTGACTTCGAGTGAGGAAATAACAGGAGACCCCTTATGCCTAACACCACCACCAAGCAAACAAAACGACAGCGTTTCCTTATTGTTCACCGGCCAGACAAACTCTTCTATAAGTGGATCATTTTTAGCCATGTCCATTTTGCCAAGAATAGCCGTTCCTAGGGACACATAGAATGCTGGGGCCTTCCCACGCCCATCAAAGTTTTTGTACACAAACTCAGCTCTAACAAGAACCAAGGATGACATGTTTTTTACCGGTAATCTATAACAATTTCGAGCTTGCGAAAGCGGGAAAAACCGAGCTGGGACAGTTGATGAAGAGTAGTTCTCTGTGTAGTCAATGGAAGTTGTGTTTCCTATGCTTATGTATGCACTGTCTGGGATCCATGAGATACCAGATGTGTCAGTGTAATTGGTCGTTCCACCACAAGATAAGCTCAAGAAACCTGGAAAATACTCAAATACACATGAATAAGTACATATATATAATTAGACTCACTAAAGAGAAATGAAAAATTAGCAAAAGAAAATGCTTACCATCTTGATCACTGAAAGCTACTAGTACCCAAAAGCCAAAAAACAAAAAGAAGCGCACCCACCAATGGTCCATGGAGTAAGGAGTTGTGGAAACAGGAACAAGAAGAAGAATGTGTCGATTTGAAAAGATCAATGGAGTGAAAGTTGAAGGGAGGAAAGAGAAGAAAAGGGAAATGGGGTTTGAGGGAAAATGATCGTTTCTTTGGGTGGGAGTGACAATTTGATAATGGAAGTGCAATGAGTAAGAGTGATTTGTTCTGCATATATTTCAAAGACGTGAAGAAAAAGAAACTTTGATAAAAAGAAAGTCCGTTAGTCATGACAAGGTAGAGGGGAGCAAGGTGATGATGAAGGCAGGGAAAGGAGTGGCAACTTGTCATTATGAGTTATGATTGGTGAGAAATAGTAGCTTCAAACACACTGTTAAAGTAGTACTAATGTTGTATTTAGTTGTTGAAAAGTGACTCCTGAAGACAATAGACAACTTTAGGTTGAAGATATGAAGACTAAGAACACTGCCCCATGTATATATTACAAAATTAACACCTTGGGGGTGTGAACCTAGTCGTTAAATCTTTTTCCTTGTTATTTTTCTTTGGAGTTATAGTTGAGGACAATTAATTGTATTTTATTGATTTATTGGAGATACAATGAAGAATATAATCTAACAATACGTTTGTATAAGAGGATTGTGAGAGCTTAAACTACTGAGCAATTGGTGGCACAAACGATAATAACACTAATACATGGTAAATTAGAGGAATACCACTTATAGAGCGAATATACCGTTTTTTAGAAAATATTAGTCTTTAAGTTTTACACCAAAGTGGTACAAGTAAATAACTAGATTTCCAAGCGGTATAAAACCGAATTTACACTATCAATACATGTCTACACAAATAATATACTTCTATTAGCCTAAAATTATCGTAGAGCTTATTTAATAAAAATAATTTTGTCTTTTTATATCAAGGGAGGGTCAAGGGATTGTACCACAGTTTCTTAGTTAAAAGGAAAAGTAGGGACCTCAGTCTAGGAAAAAAGGGAAATGTTTGGAGTATAATAAGTCAAAGCTTGAAATCCAAGTTTTGCCTTTAATCCAGATGAGTGGGAGATGCATAGGATGCTCAACAGGACCGCATGAAAACAATGATATCATGTGGTGTTCTATCTTTGCTTCCAATTTCATACCTAATCCACAGTCTTATCATATCTTTTTTGGAAAGGAAATAAGGAAAGTACTATCATGCAGCGAAATCCACAACTTTGGGGCCTACTAGGATCTTATGAACGGAGCAGCAGACAAATTTCTTCATGGATTAATGACAGGAATATTTTGTTTCATTACTTTGGTAGTTTATCAGTTGTTTTCCTATTTGTGATCTTTCTTATTAATAATATATTTTCCATCGTTTAAGTGAATGTCGTCGATATGTCCGAGTGGTTAAGGAGACAGACTTGAAATCTGTTGGGCTTCGCCCGCGCAGGTTCGATCCCTGCTGTCGACGAATTGTTTTCTTTTTATTTTTCTAATTTCTTATTTTCATTTGGTCAATCTAACAAACAATCACGTCGACCGAAACTATGAAAAACGACAAGCCCACATGACAATTCACAAGGTTTTGTTTTGTTTTTTTAAAGAGTTGGGGGTTCCTGCGCAAGGCTGTTATTGCACTTACAGAAATTGAAATCGTTGTTTTTCCACAAACCTGCATAAAATTAATCAAAATCTTTGTTTTAAGCATTGCGTTTGTTGGAATTCCACCGTCCATTTCGTTCAAGTTGAAAATTTAAATTAAAAAATAAATTTATATGAGAAAAAATATTATAACAATAAAAATTGATTTAAATTTTTATAATAAAAATTATAATAAAAATTAAAGTTGTGATTCAAACCAGTAAAATAAACGACAATCCCACATATTTTCATTTGGTCAATCTAACAAACAATCACGTCGACCGAAACTATGAAAAACGACAAGCCCACATGACAATTCACAAGGTTTTGTTTTGTTTTTTTAAAGAGTTGGGGGTTCCTGCGCAAGGCTGTTATTGCACTTACAGAAATTGAAATCGTTGTTTTTCCACAAACCTGCATAAAATTAATCAGGTTCGATCCCTGCTGTCGACGAATTGTTTTCTTTTTATTTTTCTAATTTCTTATTTTCATTTGGTCAATCTAACAAACAATCACGTCGACCGAAACTATGAAAAACGACAAGCCCACATGACAATTCACAAGGTTTTGTTTTGTTTTTTTAAAGAGTTGGGGGTTCCTGCGCAAGGCTGTTATTGCACTTACAGAAATTGAAATCGTTGTTTTTCCACAAACCTGCATAAAATTAATCAAAATCTTTGTTTTAAGCATCGCGTTTGTTGGAATTCCACCGTCCATTTCGTTCAAGTTGAAAATTTAAATTAAAAAATAAATTTATACGAGAAAAAATATTATAACAATAAAAATTGATTTAAATTTTTATAATAAAAACTATAATAAAAATTAAAATTGTGATTCAAACTAGTAAAATAAACGGAAACTTAACTACCATATTCCGGTAAGAAGAGAAGACTGCAACGGCAATAATATCTCCACTCTAGTAGCCGTCGCAAGAGAGAATTTGAATCAAACTACGTCCAAATAGACAATTAACGTATTGGGCTGTGGTACCGTCCTATAAGGTTCAATCATTTTCTTAGCAAACAAAAAGGGATACAGAGGAAAATAGCGTTATTTTTAAACCTTTTGAAGTAAATAGCTCATTGTTGAAACCTTGAAGTAACTAACACATTGTTGAAACGATCAAAGTGAAGAGCATATTTAAAGGACAAGCTTTGTCTCCAGAATTTGGTTTCAATTCGTTAAAATGCCTTAAACCGCCAACACTAAAAGGGATGGATTTTCTTAAAAAAATGTACAGCTCATTCATAGTGAGGGCCTGCGGTAATCTTTACAGCCATAGAAATGCTATCCCATGGTATTAGATCCAACCATTTGACTAAAACAAAAGTGCCGTAATGGAGACGATGCTGAAGAGAGGACCCCACAGGCTTTATCTAGCCAATGTTTTTGAGCCAACCCCCAAAATCAAAATCAGCATATCAATATAACAGTAAAAAAGACGAATAGGCAAGCCAAATGCAATTGCAGGTTGTGACTGAAGTATATAGAAGTCGAATAAGAAACACTCTACACTCTGAAACAGAAAAACAAGGTGGTCATTCAAAAACTTTCAGAATTGGGGGGTCCAAGTCTTTGGATCAAAGAAAAGAAACTAAAAACCGAAGAGAAAGACACAATCTCAACAAAATTGTAGGACGCTAACAAGTTTGTAATAATATTCAGTACTTGACCGGAGCAAGAATGTCTACTTGGGAGCCTAATTTCTCCTCTGCTGCCTTCTCAGCTTTCGTCCTTAGCTTGTTCAGCTGCTTCTTCCTCTCGTATGCCAACTGAGCCCTCTCCTTTCTCTTCTTCTCAAGTTCCTGCAAGTAGACAGAAATCTCAAATCTTGGGACGCATTTTGAAACGGAAAATCTAACTTTCAAAATTGATGGTTCACCTTCACTCTATACCAACACTTGACCAAGGAAAAAAAAAAGGAAAAACAACAACCGTACATCTCAACCAAGTTCTTTATTTAGAACGAATCAACAAGAACTGTGACATCAATATCATTTCTAAACTAATTAAAGAACACACGCTACAAGTATTCACTCTATGTGCTCAATTAATCCATTCCCAGCTAGAAAAATTTGTAGGTTAATGAAAGAATAAGATTTCAAATTTCAATTCTACTTGGAATTTTGGATAAAACTCACATCATCCTTAAAAAAAACTTAAATTAAATTGTACGGCACCAAAGTCTCAGAGTTTTGAGCAATGAAAGCTAACGAGACGCCTGGATAAAGGAAGCCAACATCGGACAGAAGTTCACTTAACAGATAAATAGCCAACATCGGACAGAAGTTCACTTAACAGATAAATAGCCAACATCGGACAGAAGTTCACTTAACAGATAAATAGCCAACATCGGACAGAAGTTCACTTAACAGATATATACTGTTATTATCATTACTAAATTGAATATCTTAGCCCAAAAAAGAAAACCAACTTCAATAAAACCTCATAGTTCTCCATTAAAGTCTCAAGCAACCAAGTGTAATAGCAAGAGAAGCTAAAATCATCAGTAAACATATAATCCAAATTGCCAGGACTAAGAAATTCGAATGCAAATAAGCTTAGAAGCAAAAACTAAAATCCATTTCATAAGAACCACAAAGCAATATCTTACCCTTATGGTGTCATAGTGGTTCCACCCAACCTCAGACGAAAGCCGACCCAACAAGCAGTACTTGTGCCCCTTCTGAAGCCTCAACACCCTAATAATTCACAAATTCACCCAAAATCAAAACACACAAAAAGAAGAAGAAAGAAACACGAAACTTTGATACAACAAAAAAAAAAAAACAAGTAATTGCTTCAAGACCCTAGAAATCAATATCAAACTCACTTGAGAGCGTCGGGGACGACCATCCTCTTGATCTTATCGTAAGGCGGCGGAATTCCCTCGTAAGCCTTTAACCGAGCTAGCGCAGCAGCTCCACGCTTGGTCTTGTGCGGAATCATTCTGCGAAAAAAAAATCAAACACAAATGAGTGATCATTCAGTGGAAAAACGAAATTAACAGAAACCATTGCAATGGCGGATTCGCATTGCGATGACCGACCCGCGAACGGTTCGCCAGAAGATCTTGGCGGGGGCGCGGAAGTGGATGGGGCCGTGAGAGGGCTTGGTGTTCATGCGCTTGCGGAGGAAGCGCAAGTACTTCATCTTCTGCCTCACGAGTCCTCCCGATATGCAGAGCTCCTCGCAGCGGACGACCACGACCTTCTGGCCGTTCAGAAGCTCCTTCGCGACGATCGAGGCAAGACGGCCGAGCATGTGGTGCCTCGCGTCCACCACGACGCGCTTCGCGCAGATACCCGACCCCGACACCATTTTCGACCTTCCCGTCTCTGGTCTGTGTCGCTGTCTAGGGTGTCTGGTTTCTATCTCTCTCTCTCTCTCTCTCTCTTCTAAGTCTGATTATGGAGGCTATAAGAGGGATGAGAATTGAGCGCTAGGGTTTCTGGCAGGGTGAAATGGTAACTCTGGGCCGGACTCAGTGTCAACCGAAACCCGAATTGTGTTGGGTCCAGCGTCGCTGTTGGTAACGGTAATATTGGGTTGGGCCAGACAACCGCGTTTTAGACAGAGGGTAAATTAGACGAATACACTTTAGAAATCCTGACAAATACCCTTAAACATGTCTATCTTGAGTTCTACTATTTATTCTTAATTAATATTTTTTTTAGTTAAATATTTATATTAATGAAAGGGTACTGAGTAAAGATTAAAATTCTCAATCCATGTATTTTTATGCCTATGTTTGTTTCACAACTCAAATTGAGAATTTGAGTTGTGTATATGAGACAAACATTATAGTAAAAAAGTTAAATATAAATTTTTATGAGAGAAAATATTCTGGCCTCGTTCATTTCACTGATTCGAGTTTATAATTTGAGTTTTATTACAGTAAAAATCTCTTAAAAACGTCACATCTAACCTTTTTACTACAGTAAAAAGCTCTTACATAAAGTTACATTTCAACTCGAATCAGCGAACTAAACGGGCTCTATAATAATTGAACTTGAATTGTAAAACAAACAAGGCCTTAATTTGCATATTAAAGGGGTATTTGTTTCACAACTCAAATTGAGAACTTGAGTTGTGTATATGAGACAAACATTATAGTAAAAAAGTTAAATATAAATTTTTATGAGAGAAAATATTCTGGCCCCGTTCATTTCACTGATTCGAGTTTATAATTTGAGTTTTATTACAGTAAAAATCTCTTAAAAACGTCACATCTAACTTTTTTACTACAGTAAAAAGCTCTTACATAAAGTTACATTTCAACTCGAATCAGCGAACTAAACGGGCTCTATAATAATTGAACTTGAATTGTAAAACAAACAAGGCCTTAATTTGCATATTAAAGGGGTAAGGGTGAATACCTATACTTTAGACCCATCCATTCTCAAAATAATAATAATGATAACATAAAAAATAAAAAATGGTATCCATTCTAATTTTCACTAAATTAAATTAGGTGTTACTTTTAAAGTCTAGTTATTTATATGTATTATTTTTATCTATAAATTAAGTAAATTTCCTACAAAATTGATATTTGAAATACTTTATTTTTTAGTAAAAAAAACTACCCAAAGTGAAGAAAAAAATATTAATATTTTAAAAATGAAGCGTATATTGTAATGAAGAATCACATCAAATTAAAAAAATACGTATAACAAACATATCTTGATACAAATTTAACGGTTAAAAATAAAAAAATTGTCACGCCCCGAAGCCGGAATTAGTGACGTGGAGGCTCGTTTAGGAGTTAAACGGGATTAGGAAAGTAATTAAACATTTATAATCATAATAACCAAAATCAAAAGTAAAATATTAAAAAAAAAATTCCTAACGAGCCCCACATTTAACTGAAAATAAATTACAAGAAAGTTACGGGGTCGCCCGTACTTTCTGATTACAAGAGGTTAAAACTCGAGCCTCTAACATTATTTAGGGCTTCACCCACATGATATGCAACATTGTACATACATAAACATGTAAATAACATTACAGACATCAACCACAGTCTAGAAATCCAAAGTTTACAAAATTTACAATCTTACATTTGCACACAGGGAGGATGAACATAATCCTCTTTTAATCGGATGGTAGCAACTAACTCAGCTACTCCGCACTACTCCTCGCGTCGTCTGGGAGGGGTTTAATATTTATAAAACAAGGAAAACGTGAGCGAAAGGCCCAGTAGGATGTAATTTGAAATAACTTTTATAAACAAGTAATGAATTGATGAACAAGTAAATAGATAACTAAATAAATAAATATAGACATTCAGTTCCAACACAACAGTGGGAACCTCACATCCTTTTTTCAAAAGGAATATAAACTAAAAATTTCCGTATTACAGGCATCAGCAAGTAATTTATCCTCTGATATTTTACTTACACAACCACAAACACAAGCCTTTACACCACCGTAGTGGCCCGGTCCACGTTTCGGGTTCTGCTCCCAAGGATACACTCTCCATATCCTATCTAGGCCATCAGCCGGTTTACCGATTCGCAAGATCTCTTATCTTAAGAAATCATTCATTAAACTTTCTGAAATAGTTCGTTATAATTCCAATAGCAAAAAGCAAGCTATTGTTTTTAAAATACTTTTCTTTCACAAACATGCCATTTCTTTAAAATATTTGCAAGGCCAAAACTCTTTTGAAATCAGGCTAACAAAGAAAGGGGTAAGAAATCCTACCTCGTAAGACCAAACCTGTGGCTAGCATTGCACTATTCTAGCTTTCGCTTCTTCAAAGCCTTCAATTCCACTCCTCAGCTAGCATTGATACAAAACAACACTTTAGGATCCAATTCTCATTCCTAAAGCAATTCAATCTCAATTAATTATACCCTTTGATTTCCTATTATTGTGCCTTAATCAAATTTCAAGTTTCATAAATTATTTCATGTTTCAAATCATCATTCCAATGGTTTTGATTCCAAAACATGGATTAAAGATGCTAATCCATTCGCTTTAGATCCCCAAATGAAGCTAATTTGGGTTCTCTTTGAAAATTGAAGTCAAAATAAGGTCGAATCCCGTGTACACCGGTCGACCGATGACATAGAGGTTATTCTCTACCGGTCGGCCGATGGAGAAGGAACTGGTTGACCGGTCCGGTCAACCGGTAGGAACCTGACAGCTCGACTGACAGGGCCGATCCGAAGAAAATCCGGCCAAAACCTGCAAATCCGAGTTCCAATTTGAAATATTTCAAGGGAAAACAACCAAATCCAGGTTCTAGTTATTAAATCAAGTCCATAGAACCAATTTTTCCCCAATTTTTGTCGTGATTTTACTCAAAATCCATGATAATCTATTTTCGAACCAAAATAAGTTTTCTAACCTAGAAATTTGAGATTCAAGATAAGTTTTTCAGAAATCTTACCTCAAATCCTTCTCTTGACTTTGAAAACTTCCTAAAATTTTCCTTTGGTTCGAAATTCGGTTGATTTGGTGAAGATTTGAACGGAAGAGAGAGAGGAACGAACGAGAGAGAGAGTGAGTGAGTGAAACGACAAGGAACGAGAGAGAGAGAGTGCACAGGAAAAGAAAGGAAAAAGGAAGAAAAGAAAAAAGAAAGAAAACAGGTGCCAAAATATTTAAAATAACAGTCAAGAAATGTGTCTACACACACTTCTGGGATAAAAATATAATTACTGAAAATATTTAAATCCCTTAGAAATATTTAAATTTACACGTCAGAAATATTTAATAAATGATAATTAATTAATTCAACCAGATTAGGCATACTAATAAATCTTAATTATCTTAATTAATCTCGTTTAATTTCTTAGAGTGTTACAAAAACTACCGATAGTTTATTTTTCTGGTCCTACTAGAAAAACCTCTTTAATTTGCGTTAAAGGGAATGTATTGACCCCATAAAAAAAGATGTACTAGTAGAATAAATAGGTGTTAATATAATTTTTGCAGATTAAATTATACCTATCTAGCCCGCTTTTCATGGGCACGAATGCAATAATTTTAAGGAAAATCAAGGGGGATGCTCCTTTTATTAAGGAATCATAAAGATTCATGTAATTTTTTGAAGCAATATGTGATTTTTGTACTCATTTCTTTTATTATATATCAATTTATAATGGGCATAATTTTAGTAGAATGGTATAGGACTATAAACCAAAAAAAAAAGTGAATTAAGAGGGAAAAATTCCATAATTTTCTATAATATTGTATCACAGTGGTGACTTTTTTTCCCTTATGTCTATCTCTTGACAAAATCTTTGATAAATAAGGTTAATTATCATTTTTTTACGGAGTAAATTATCAATTAATGTTGCACAAAATTTGGTATACCTATATAAATATACAATTTTTGTTAACAGGGTGTCTAAACGGACACTCATCACAGTTTGTTCGTGATTTTTCACTAATTCCTTTAACTTATATTTGATTATTTATTAAAAACATGATTAAAGTTGCATTAAATAGAATGAAATTAGCTCTGAAAAACGTTTGAAGTTGTTTTCATGTCATGTTTACTTATCAGGAGTAGGGAATGAAAATTGAGATTCGGAATCAATTCTATGTTTATTTACCTATTTATATCCTGAAATGGGAGTGAGAATGTGTGGGTCTCACACCAATTTAGGGTTGAGGAATGGTATTGGCACTCCCCCCTCCCCCGAACTAGATTGCCACTCTCAATCCTGATTAAATGCAAAAGTACGAATTTACCCTTAATTTTTCTCCTTTATTTAACTTTCTATAATTTATTTCTCCCTTTCTCTCTCAGCCATTTACCATCCCCTCTTCTGCCGGTTCTTCACAGGTTGGCCATAAATCATCATTTATTTTTATTTCCGTTTTGCTTTTTTTTTTTGTCTGTTGATAATGCTTTAGTTTAGCTAGTTTTGCTGTCAAGGTTTCGTTGTTCCTTTCCATGTGCAGGTGCATGTGTCCTCTTCTAGCTTTTCAGTTTTTTTTTCCTTATTTTAATTTAATTTTTTTATCCCTCTTTATTTCTTTAAACTCTTTTATCTGTTTTATTTTAGGAATTTCTACTGTAAGATTAGAAAACTGAAACTATCAATAAATTTTATCTATCTTTATTTCTCGTGATTCTGGTACTCTAGTTTTTTTTTATTTTTTTCTTATAATTTGATTCTTGTGTTATGCCTATTGTTGTTCATTTTTATAATATACAATGTAATACTAAATCTAATTTTATATGTTGATAATGTAGAGTAATCATCTCTAGACTTTTAGTACAAAAGAAGATAATGGTTGTAGTGATAAAAGAGATAGTTATGATGTTACAAATGATTATGGTTGCGTGTGCTGCTATGTGTACATATGTTTCTATTTATTATGAATGAATGATACGAAGTCCAAAAATGGTTATAAGGGTTTATCAACAATTAGGTCACTTGTATGATTTGGTTTACGAGAGTGA